TCAAATTCCTAGTTTGAGATATTTTTGAAGGAATTATGCGATTTTCTGTATACTATTTACATATACTCCTAAAAATGGCGATCTGTCAGAAAGTTGATCACCTAAGCCGCTCCACTAATTAGCACGTAGTTATAGTAAAATTACTTTTATTTTTTTCTAGTTGAAAGTGAAGAGTGTGATGAAACAGAAATAATTGTGGTTCGACTTGGAAAGGAACTGGTGTTAAATTTTCCACTTTCTGATATCAGAGACGAGTATAACAAATATATCATTGAACAAGAAGAAAAGAAGATTCTCGAAAATGAAATTCGGGTCCAGGATCTCAAAAACGCCTCAGATCTTCGGTTTTCAAAAAAGATAGAAGATATAATTTTTATCGATGGTAATCCAACATATTTCGGTCTTCTAAGGGGTCATTCGACCAGTCATCGGATGGAAATCTTTCTCGCTAATGACACCTTCGTCGTAAAAAAGACAAAACTACAAAAAGAAGATGTTGGAATATATTGGATGAGTTCCAATCAATTCGTTTGGGACAGAAAGCTTTGATTATAGCAGGTTAGCCATTGCTTCAATCTATCAAAGATTTAATCACAATTTCGCATCTTCTTTATTTTCTGATTTGTTTTCGTCTCCATTGTAATCCGACAAATTTTCTACCAATTTTAGCCATGTAGAAATCGGATTTGAGATAGCAAACTCCAAAGCAAACAGATATGACAGCCTCTCTGAGTTTCGCTTGAAATCAAATAGTTGTAATGTTTTTTGAAATTTCTAAGTTTCAGGCAAACCCAGAATTGAAGGACGATCTCCACCGAATCCTGTTTTAAAACCAGAAGATAACTATACTTCAATCTTACAACTAGAATGTCACAGTGTTTCAACCAGTATAGGAGATTGTCAACTGGTCAATAACCCTATGTATATAATGTGGTATAAAAATGGAATGAGAATGACTGACTTAGATCCAACTTTATCTCAAATTAACGTGACTGTAGACCATAATGGTGGAAACTTTACGTGTCTGGCTACAGAATATCTCCCTTGTTATCGAAGACTACAGACCACAAAACATTTTAATTGTAAATATCGCTTCGGGGCGTTTTTTAAACCTTATTATGACTATAGAACGTTGGTTTTTTATTGATTTAAAATTAAATTTAATATTTATCATTTTTGCTGTTTGAATTTTTATAAAAATCCTTTTATTATTCATTTTTCAGTTTATAAATACGATTTTTATGTTTCCAAAAGTTTTTAAATTTTCAAAGTAAAATGAATAGAATTAAATTTAATTTCAGAAACAACGTAATAACTTCAAAGAAAAAAAGCGGTTTATAATGCACTTAAATCGTAAATCAAATAATTCAAAAAAATTGTTTTCTTGACTGTAATTGAATAATGTATAATTGCGAACATGCCCTTTCCTACCCATGAGAAAAACCTATGAATATATTTTCGTATAGATATTTACTTTCTTAGTTTTATTATCTCAATTTCAGCTTACATTTCAACAAAAACATACAGCTCCATATTGGAAGAAAATTTGCTGAATTTTGTTGTATTGTTATATAGAAAATCCATGTTTACTTTGATTGTTTTTATTTTCAGTTTTGAATATTGAAGAGTGTAATAATGTCTCTGAAAGTAAAACCTTTATGATTAAAACTCAGCGTAAGTTTCTATTCCTCGATAATATCGTTTTGTAGTGAGACGTTTTTGTCCTGGTTGGGGTGGGAAACTGCAGCCTTCCCAAAAACCAATATAATTAATTCAATGTGCATAGGTTCGTCATGCATACGATCAATAGCACGTTCGTCTCAGAAATAGGAATTTGTTTTTAGCTAAGTGTTCAGCATCACTGTACACAGCTCACCGTCAAAATGTGAGCCCTTAAATCTATGTTTGGCCAGACCTATCGGCCGAAACATTAACATGGCGACTCGTCTTTTCTTGAGACTCCGCCATGTATAAAAAGGAATTACATAGAAATAAAATGTGAAATTCATAGTTTAAGGTAAAACAACTTCTGTCAAAATAAACTTTTTATAGTCATCTTCATGAGTGGTGTTGTTCACATTTCCATGTCAAAACAAAATCTTTTTCAAAAACCCCTGAACACCTATTAATATCTTTGTCAGACCATTGTGGGTTTTCTTTTTTCAGACAAATCACCGAAGAGTGTGATTGTTGTTGTTAGGGTTATTGGTTTTGTTATTTGTTTTGTTATTGGTTGTGCAGCTTTAGCTGTTTTTAGATTCAGTTGTATCATGTACAAGAAATATCCAAGTAAGCAAATTACTGTTTATGAATAGGCCCAATCTTGTATGCTTCACAGGTCTACTTAGAACAAGTTTCATAGACCAGTTATCATCTGAGTGAGCTGAC